TAGCTCTAGCCATTTCTCTTCAGATTAAGATAAAACATCATAAAAATAAGCATAGTCCAAAAAAAAAAAGTCTACTTTCCCATGAAGCTTGCGTATGGGCAAAGCAGTGTCAGATTCTAAGTGCTGGTCTTGTCCTGATGCAGCATTTCTATAACTTTGTTCCCAGCATTTCAGTTATATGTTGAAAAAGGAAGTTTGATTTGAATGCTGATATATTGTAAGAGAAGTAAGGTATCAATCTAAGATCTTAGTTAAAGTGAATGGTTTTTCCACTAGAAGCTGTTGGTATGTACACAGAGGCAAGTTTGTTTATTTGTGCTTTTTATATCATATGTTCCTCTAGAGTGCCTTCCTGCAGAGTTTAGCTCCAACCCTGATCAAACACCTGAACCAACTAATTAGGATCTGAAAGAGCACTTGATAATTACAGACAGGTGTGTTTGATCAGGGTTGGAACTGAACTCTGCAGGAAGGTAGATCTCCAGGACCAGGGTTGGGCACCCCTGCTCTAGAGAAATGTAATTTAACAAGTACTGTTTATGTTTGTGTTATGATAAATAAATGATTGTGCTAATCAGATCAAATAAAATCGAACTGTTACGTTAACTCAACCGAACCGAATCTAGGGCTTAACCCTGCATTTAAATTATGTATATGTAAAACAACTACAAATTTGCCTGTTTTGGGCCACTTCGTTTACATGATGTGGTCAGTAACATGAATCAAACTGACAAACAATTACATGCTTGTATAATCATTTACATTTCATTATAAAACATTTGAATGCATTATTATGCAACTATTACAGGTATTTAGGAGTGAATATCATTCAAACGTGTTTTATATCCTGAAAGAATATCACAATCTATTCTTTACCTCTAGTTTGGCAAATCTCAGGGTCTTTCCAGGTGCTTCTGACACCTGTGACAACCACATTATTTACAAGTCCATTTGGATGTGATATTTTCAGCATGAGCACTTTTGAGAATCTTTTGCAGAGAAATTATGCAAACATAAACTCATATAGTCCTATTAGAAAGACCGCTTGCTAGAAGTGAAAAGGGCAAAAAGCTTTGCATTCAGTCTTGGCAGTCATCACAGGCCCTCACTACTCTTCATCTGATTCCTGGAGCAAAGCCTTCTGGGAGCTAGAATCCGAGGCGGCGCACTTTCTGAGGCCCATCTCCATGTCACCGAGCTTCCTTCCTTCACACCAGTTTGAAGACCTGGAAAGATCATGGGCACAATGTAAGCACAATGAAATAGTGGAAACTTTTTGATTCGTCCAAAACGGTGTCCACCCACCAAAAAACTCCACAGTAGCAGATGCCCACAACCAGCAGAGCCACAGCGTAATGCCAGCAGAAGCACATGGTGATGAACATGATGTTATCATGACTGTCCAGACCCCACTCTTCTCCATTTAGAGGATACAGCACAAACCCGATCTGAAACATAGCAACATATCTCCATATTGAAATGACGTAATTTCTCATTTTAAACCAAATTTTTCTACACCCGATGTTGTCTTTACCTGATAAAACCATGTGCCTTGTAGGATGGCCAAACTGCACCTAAGAAGTTCCAGCACTGTGTTATCTCGCTTAAACACCTCCATCATTGTGTTGGCGGCTCCACCAAACACCGCAAACAGAAGCAGAAAGTGAATGTGCTGGTCCAGAGGAGGACGATTGTGGACATGGAAATAGAAAAGGAGCCCTGGAAGGGAGAAGCGATGACATTTCAGGAAGCTCAATGGCGGGATATCGCTGCATATTCACTTCATTAATGGCTCATTTTGCTTGATACCTTCCACAAAGAGAGCCAAAGAAAGGGAGAGACGGTCAAGACCAACTGGCACGTGGCGAGAAGACATGCTGAGAACATCCGCAATGCCAGAGATACCGAAGAACAAGTACATGGTGCTGTGCTGCCAGTTCATCAGCTTCACCCAGCCGTCCTGATACAGATGTGCATGAGGGCCATCAGGCACAAACTGCTCTGCCATGATTCCTGGAGACAGATTTCAGTGTATTTTTAAAGAAGCAGATTAAAATGATTTATTAATAAAATTTGAAACATAGGGGAAATGTATGTATAAATTTAAGTATATGTTCATTTTATTAGTACAGTGTCATCCTCATTCTTTTACTATTATATAGGAAATTGGATAGGAAACCAGGGTAAAGAATTGTGTGTGATTTGCAGCTCACCGACAAATGCAAAAAAGATCTTCAGAGCTCCTTCAATTAAATCTATGCGGTTGAGTACAGTGTGCATTTGTCTGTCTCTGTTCCCATGTTGCCTCTCTTTTTTCCTCTGTATCTGTCGGAACGGGTACTTTATTGACCACCACAGGCCAAACAGCAGGAAGAATGTACCAGGTAATGCATGTCCCTTGAAGTTGGCCATTCTACCCCTGGAAAAAAACAATGGTTGCTATTTAAAAAAATTTATAAAATGTAAAAAATGTAAATATTTCAATGTCAACTACAACAAAATACATAAAAATAGCCTCCAGCAACTAGAATGTTGTTTAAAGCTGGCTTTCATAGGACCTGGACATCAATCATTGTGTCATGCAAACCAAAGTTCAGTATGATAAGCCTTTATTACTTAAAGCTATTACAACAGGCAGTTCTCTGATAATCATTAAATATGTAGATATGAAAAATGTTGTTGATAGGAATGTATACTTATGGTGCTCATATCAGAGAAAATATTAAGAGTGCAATCTTATGATCTGGGGCCGGTTGCATAAAACGCTTAGACTAGTCTTAAAAAGTTGGTCATCTACTTTTCAAAGTCAGTTATAAAAAGGGAGAATGGTCTAATTTGAATCCAAAAGTAAGTCTGGTTATCTCTTGGCTAGCTACTAGTTGGTCAAACTAGTTATTAAGACACAGTCTTAACATAGCTGCTATGTTTATGCAACTGGCCCCTGGTTACCTGTTGGGAACCATATCAGCTATAAATAATTTGTCTTACTTACAAAGCTCTTTCTAATAAAGATAAGACAAAGATAAGATTATTATTCCTATAATCCAAATTTATAGTGTATTTTATAATAATTTTGTATAAAAAAATATATATTTATAAATATAAATAAATATATATATTTTATAGTGGATCCACTTTTATAGCACCAGAAACCCCACACCTTTAAACACGACGCATCTAAGGGAGTTCTCCTTGTCTCTGTCACATTTAGTTTGACGGTTCATGTAATCTTCTGTCAGTGAGGTTGGAAATCAAGTTTTTCCCGGTAGGTAAGATAGCGCTTTTATTTACTCGCGCGCGTGTGGGAGAGTTTATTGTTTTGCAAATGAATCAAGTCGACCGTTGTCTCAGCGCAGTAGTTTAGCAGAATTCTCCAAGGAGCCCATTAACCATAGTAACTACAGTATTGGATAAAATATAACTACAATAGTTATTGTTACTGAAATTAAACATGCGGTAGCCACTTTCATTTAAAAAAAACCCCTGTAATTAAAGAAAATGAATGACAGATCTTTGAATATCTCTTGCTTGTTTGAAAGAGACGTGATTTATGATAAGTTTACAGTAGTAACAATAATTCTAATTACTGGTATTTTGGCGAAAACTGTCCTAATAGCCTACTAAATGCAATTAATGTACAGATTTAATATCAGAAAAATCACCCAAGTTAAGTGATTGTTCGAGCTCGAGACTGTGCAGTATTAGTATTAATAATAGGCTAGTCCATAAAATAAATTAATAATCTCTGGTACGAATTTCCATAATTTAATTGTATAGGATACCAAAAGATGACCAAGGTGTAATCTTGTTTGTTTACTCTACCTTAACTCTGGCCTGTGTTGTCACGGCGGGGCGCCCAGTGCTCCTGTGCGGGTCTTGTGATGGGAACATCCTAGTTACCTGAGCGCACCTGCTCACCTGCCTATAAAACCCCGCCCCTCTTGTGCTTGACTGACAGAACGAGCAATTTAGAAAAGATGACCCCGCCCACCTGCTCCTGGGTTAGTGACAACTTTTCTACGTTTTTCTATATGCAGCTGCTTTGTTATTTAAAAATTTTGTTTCATATTGTTCTATAGGCAGCATTTACAGCATTTGTTAACACAAAAAAATGGTAAAAAAAAAATCTGTTTAGGTATGCAGGTATTGATGAATTTGTACAGGAAAGGGTAATGGATGTTAATATATAAACCATTCACGGAAGCTGATACACAAGGACATACAACAAACAAACCTTATGCAGAATGAACTTTGCTCTCTCTTGTTTTATTGCTGTTATGTAGGCTGAGCAACCTCACCAAACATTCATAGCAGCTGTATGGATGAGTAGAGATTAACAAACATTTTAAAACTGTAGCGCCACCGTGAGGAAAAATTATATATTAATGAAGGCTAAATTATTATCTAAACGATGACCTGGATGAATGAAAATTCCAAAACACAAAGAAACCTGTTCTTGTAGCCTAAAACTTATTGGGACATGTAGAGATTATTCACATTTATTGACATTTAAGTGACATTTATGAAATCAACAAAACGTTTGGCTTAAAGGGATAGTTCACCCAAAAATCCAAATTCTGTCATTAATTACTCACCCTCGTGTCGTTCCAAACCAGTAATGACCTTCGTTCATCTTCGGAATACAAATTAAGATATTTTTGATGAAATCCGAGAGCTTCTGGCCCTCCATAGAGAGCAATGCAACTGAAATGTTCCCAGACCCAGAAACGTATAAGGACATCATTAAAATAGTCCATTATAACATCAGAGACATTTTTTTTACATTGCTCTATATGCAGGGTCAGAAAGCTGTCAAATTTCATCAAAAATATCTTAATTTGTTTTCCTAAGATGAGTGAAGGTCTTACGGGTTTTTGATCGACATGTGGGTGAGTAATTAACCTAATGACAGAATTGTAATTTTTGGGTGAACTATCCCTTTAAGGTCTAAGGGATATCTTGAAAATAATACAATAAACCTTGTAACCTATAAATAGCATCTACAAAATTGTACAGAATATCTTTTTCTCTCTGAAGGGATTTTCTGAGGATGGTATGGGGGTCACCAGGGGGTCCTCTTTTGCATGCGACTCACAGTAAGCCATCAGCTCAGCTGCTGCTTTAGATACCTGTGCAAAGAGATACATACCATAAATGTGCCTTTCTGTGTATTTTCTTTTCCTCTTGGATAATTTTAAATAATTTTGTGATCAAGTATGTTAATGAATAAATCTAACAAATTATTTAGCATAAAAATGCGACTTACCATCATCCTGTCAATATTAACCTCCAATTTCAGTTGTTCCACTGTTTTTCGCGCATCTGCAATCTTGGCCATGTTATTAGACATACTGCTCTCTTGTAGACACCAAATTAACCCTGCAGGAATACAGCAAAACAAACCCCAGGAGAGTCCAGCTAAATGCATCTGGTAGATAACAACTCACCTCCAGTTCTACAGATGTCTGATGTTTTAGTTCCCTAAGAAGACAATGCTATTGTCTCCTCTAGGCTATTAAAGACATCTCTGTTGCAGAGTTGCAGTAATTGTTTTGCTGGGTCTCAGCTGTTTGTGCTTTGGATGAGGCTCAGTGGGAGAGAGGAGTGCAGAAATCCTCTAGAGACCACAAATAATCTGCTCACTTATTAATATAAAGTCATATAATATGCTTCACTCTTTAACATTAAAGTGACAATTTCACAAAATTCACACAGTTTACTTTTAGTTCAGAAGCTGAACAATATGTTGTCTGAGATGTTCTATTGAAATGAATGGTTTATGCATTTTTTGAAAAGTTTTTAGGGGATTTAACTTTTTTCTTCATAAATTTAGCATACGGAAACTTTGTTACTAGGAACATATTTACATATGGAAATCAAAGCACCAGCAAAATTTGAATTATGCAGTTGCAAAGCAATGCAATATAATGTGGCATAACTGTTTGTCGTATTATATTACAGTTACTGTGTATTACATTATATTACAAAACAAAACTTTATCTATATTTAACACAGCATGCTGCTTATATACCTTAATGACTTACCACAGTTGATCCAGATTTATCCGTGATGCTGGCAGAAGAAATGTCTTGTTATCGTAGATTGTTTGTTGTACACATTACGACCTGCAGGACTGAATGAAGAGATAGTAAGGAGTGGAGGGATGGGAAAGGCTGCCGCCTCTCATAATTAGCTTTTATTCCTCCCCCATATTGGGCTGAAGAGGCAAGTCACAGGCATCATGGGGTGTGACCTTCAGCTGAATATCTCAATCATGCATAATAGCGTATGAGTGATACCTGCCACCACAATGAGCTGCACTGAGCTATTATGTTGAGTAAAAAAAGTGCTGTTTCAACAGATAAACAAAACATTCATAAATTATTGAACTGAAGAAGATCAGATAATTAGTGCAAGACGGTTGTAATAAAAGAGAATAATTTTTATTCTTTGTAGAGTATATAAAAGCCTGGTGTCTGGGCTAAATTTACACCAAATGATGATTTTCATGCCCTCCTCCAACAAATGTTTGCTACCTGTCAAGACAGAAGGCTATTAATCCTGCATGTGATTACTTGCACTATTGTTTCTTTTTATTTATTTTTTGATCTTTTATTATTTGTGAAAAATAAATATTTGCACTCTAGATTAACATGTCCCTCTTGATACGAATCCCACCCAGAGGATGTGACACCAGGAGAGAAACTGATGCTGTGGTTAAGTGTTTCAGTTCTCATCATTAATACCTGGGGAAGGATTGCCTGTTGAGCTCACTGCAGGTGGCTCAAAGCTCTTCTCCAGGGCTTTAATGTTAACTGGCTCATTAGCAGCTGTTCTCAGACATGATTTATTGGTCTGCATGTTAGTGCAGATGTGAAAAATGTAGCTAAATCCAGCACTGAATTAGGTACTGAAAATTCACTACAACAATCGGCTTTGGCATTTAAATATTTCATCATGGCACTGGTGGATCACTGTGAGGGAGTGAGGGAGGAAAAAGAAAAGACTCTTCCAGTCCAAAAAAAGACACTTTTACGTAGTCATTTCCTGATCCTCTTTGGCTCAGTGCCATATTGTAAAGCTACTTAGTATATTTGGATAAGCATTTAAGAACTTGCCTCTGCTGGTTGTAGTAAAATGTTTGCACGCGTTATTTCTGAGTAAGATGCATTTCAAAAATCTGAATATCCTTAAAACATAAATCTACTTGAGAAGAAAAACAGCAAAATCTGTTGTTTTCAGAGAACAAATATATTTTTTATTTAACATATTTACAGTGCCTTGCGAAAGTATTCATACCCTATTCATTTTTTCACATTTTGTTATGTTGCTGCCTTATGTTAAACTGCTTTAAAATAAGTACATTGCATAAGTATTCATACCCTTAACTAAATATTTAGCTGAAGCACCTTTACAGTCTCAAGTCTTTTTTTTTTTTGATGCGACAAGCTTTTCTCATCATCATTTGCCAATTATCTGCAATTTTTCTCCTCACCTCTTCACCTCTCAGGCTCTGTCAGGTTGGATGGGAGCAAATGCACATTTTCAAGTTTCTCCAGAATTATTTGATTGGGTTCAAGCTCAGGCTGTGGCTGGGCCACTCAAGGACATTCACAGAGTTGTCTATAAGCCACTCTTGCTGTGTGCTTAGGTTCATTGTCCTGTTGGAAGGTGAACCTTCTGCCCAGTCTGAGGTTCTGAATGCTCTGGACTGGGTTTTCATTAAGG